TTACTTGCTCAAATGAGTATCTAATTTTAATACTCGTATCATAGTATCTAATAGGGATGGGCATGATTAGTCGATTAATCGATAATTGATCATTAAGAATTTCATCGATTACGTTCATTTTAATCGACAAACCGAATGTAGGTTGCTGTGTGTAGCGTGACCAAACAGGTCCGTACATGTAGCTCTCGCACTCAGAAGGAGCGAGACACAAACAGTCGGTCAGTCTGCAACGTACCGAAGCACAAATGTGTATTTAACGATGACTTGTACAAGAAATTCCACGCTTTCCGTTGCATTCGGGACAAGTGAGTCCATGTGCACAGTGTACAAAGCAGCACATATGTTTCAGTGTCCAGTGGGAAAAGTTTTACCAGGTGAGAGAAGCGCAATGTCGATGACGAATCCCCACCTCCCTCCCCCCGTACAGTGTCCTGGTTTTGACAAACACAAATCTGGTCACACTAACCTGTATTCCACTGAGTCATGTCTTTTAGTCTGACAGAAGTTGAACCACATCAGCGACACAAGAGCTGTAGTTTTATCTTTGCTTAGTTTATGTAAATTAGCGATGCGGTTTGAAGTTTTGTTTCTGTGAGAGTTGCGCAAAACTGAATTAAACACATTATAATGTCAAACAGCTGATGTGGCTCTAGAGTGATTACGGTTTATATATCGTAAAGTTGAATTTATTTATGTAGATTAGTAGTGCAGATATTAATAATAATGATGATCATTTTAATATAAAAACATTACTGATTAATCGATAATCGATCGTTAATTCTTCCGACGATCGATTAAGAACATTTCATCGAATGCCCATCTCTAGTATCTAATTATCAGTACTTTTGACAAATCTTCTAAGGCCAAACTCAGACAGAGACAAACAACTCAGGCTTGTTTATGTCGATGAAAAGGACCTCTGCACCTGTCAATCACGTCTATCTGGAATCTTGGAAACGGGCCCGGAGTCCAGACTACACACTTTGTACAGTATTGGAAAAGTGTGCAGTCTTGGCTGGTCAGGCTAGCACAGTTCCCCTCAGGCTTGTTCCCCAGAGGAGGATAAGAGCCCTGCTTACACCCGGATGACTCATGGCTCACCCACATGATGGAGACGATGGAGGGGGTGTGAGCGGCTCCATCACGCTCTGGCCTGAGGAAAGACTCAGACAGCAAAGAGAAAGAATTCAACACAACCCACTTCCACTGCTCCAGCTGCAGGCAGGACTCATGTGTTTGAAGGAAGAGGAGGTACGGAAATTCTGAAAGTGGGAAGTAGCCAAATATTGTATTCAAGTAAGAAGGCGTTTACTTCAAAATAAATGGTTCCCTTGACCTTTTTTAAGACATGGAAACTGATGTAGTCTACCACCAGGAGCATCATCTTTATTATAAAAGAGTATAAAAAACAGAGTAAGCTGTTTGTAGATGCCCTGATTTACATAACTTGAAAAGTCCTGGAAACTTTAGGTTGTCAAAAGAATCGAAAATCAGATACTAATCAATAGTAGGGATATCCAAAAAAAAAAAAAATCTAAACATTTCTAAAATCACCAAATGAAAGAATCTCAAATTTTAGCTCAATCTCTTGAGTCATTCCTGAGTTATGGCCCATTGAAATTTTGGGACCATGCTCACTTTTTCTGAAGCCTTAATTTATAAGCATGTTTGAGGGACCATAACTTCATTAAAAAATAGATCTTATTAAGGGGGACGCTGTGGGCCCCCAAAATCTCACATTTTGTTGCTGTTCAATTTTTTTTTTAATTTTTGAGGTCTAAGATCTATTTACTCCAAGCAGATATTTACAAACTAACTGTAGAATCTGAATATTTGAGAAAATGACCATTTCTGACAACAATCTCACACTTTTGGCATATTCTGATTAGTTTAAAAGTAAAAAAACATCTATCAATCTATGACCAAGAATGTACAATGATACAAATTTTCAGCTTCCTAGCTCTATTTTTTATGAAGTTATGGTCTCTCAAACATTCTTATAAATTAAGGCTTCAGAAAAAGTGAGCACGGCCCCAAAATTTCAACGGGCCATAACTCTGGAATGACTCAAGGGATTGAGCTAAAATTTGAGATTGTTTCATTTGGTAAATTTAGAATTTTTTTTCAGCCAAATCTGAGATGACTCATAGGGGAGGGCAGCTGATTTCATATGGACTGACCCGTAAGCAAGTATCAATACTGAAAAAAGTCACATAAATTGGGTAAAATTTGACCTTTCCGGAACAGTTTTATCTTGAGTTTGAGCAGAGCTAGTGTAAGACTATATGATATAATAAACAAATACAACTTTTTTGTGTTACAGTATTGTTCAAAAAGGAGCTTCTAAATGATCATCTGGGTATGAAAACTGAGTATCAAGTCTATTCTTTAGTACGAGTATTTAGTTCTTTAGTATCTTGACACTACAGTAAGAAAAAGTAAAAATGTGTGACTCAAGAAATTCCAAAAAAGTTCATGTAGTTAAGTTAATGCAACTGGAAGGACAAAACATTAAGTTACAAAACCTGGTATTTTCAAAGGGCAAGCTGGAAAAATTTGACAAAACAGAATCATATCTGAAAGAGCGGTGCAAGAAACACAAATGTTCAAATCATTTCATAGTGTCACATAAAGCTTTTGTCACTTGTAGACTTACTCACAGCGGGAAGAGGAACAAAAGAGAAGTACAGTTTTATGAAAACGTTATCCAGTAAATTACAACCTCTGTCTGCCATGCCTCCATAGCAACCCAGAGTACTGAGTACACTTTGTGGGTGTTAGTTTTAAATATTGATAGAATTGACTAATAAAGTTGGATTTACCAAGTTACATTTGACCAAATCCTGTATATTACATACAGTGTTGGGAAGGTTACTTTTGAAATGTATTCCCCTACAGATTACAGATTACACACACCAAAATGTAGTTTGTAACATAATCCATTAAATTACTTAAAGTGAGTAACGTAATCTGAATACTTTGGATTACTTGATTTGCTGTAGAGAAGCAAAGACTACGATATCGTAACATAAGATATTTTGTCTGATAAAAGAAAATAAAAAGCCCAAACTTTACTCAACAGTATTAAAAATATTATTGATAGAAGACGAGGAGACACATCTGCGCAGCATGATTTAGTCCTGTTAAATCCTGTTTTGGTCGTGTTTTAGTCCTGGTTTAGTCCGGGTTTAGTCCTGTTTTAGTCTGAGTTTAGTCCTGGTTTTAATCCTGGTTTTAGTCCTGGTTTAGACCTGGTTTAGATCTAGTTTAGACTGTTTAGTTTCTGGCAATGAGTGGAATTACCGAAAAAAAAGAAAAAAAAAAGGTGGGATATAGCCCAAAATGTGAAAACAGGAAAATACCACAGTGTAATCCATTTATTTCAACCAAGTAACTGTAATCCAATTACCACTCATTGAACTGAATACAGTTACTCATAATTTGTAACTACGTAATTACGTAACTCCGGTACATGTAATCTGTTACTCCCCAACACTGATTACATATCCCATTTGGATTACAGTGTTCCCTCGTTTATCGCGGGGGTTACGTTCTATAAATAACCCGCAATAGGTGAAATCTGCGTCATCTTTATTTTTTACAATTTTTATAGATGTTTTAAGGCTGTAAAATCTCTCACCACACACTTTATACACTTTTCTCACACAGGACAGTTACAACCCTTTTTGCATCCTTCTTAAAACTTATTGCTGCTGTCAACTTTATGTTATTTGTTTATTATTTGTTTAAAATTAATTTATTCCGTAACGACGCCCTATAGCCACATCACTTCTACCTTTCTTCAACGTGTCCAGAAGTCCAACTTTTGTGTAATGGTTAACATCATCTTCTGCCTTTTGAGTGCGACCGCAGGGGCCTTTGTCGGTGTAGAACGTTTCGTTGACATTGTGCACAGCAAAAACTGGAGGGGTAAAATTTTAGGGTAAAATATTTCAGAGTTGTTTTTAACACCAAAAGTGATATTTTAACTATGTGAAAGTTAAATGGGGGTTTGAGTTGGGGTTATTTGCCAGAGTTGATTTGGTTGAGATTAATTCAACTTCCCTTAGTGTTAATTCAACTTCCCTTAGTGTTAATTCAACTTCTCTTAGTGTTAATTCAACTTCCTCTAGTGTTAATTCATCTTCCCTTAGTGTTAATTCAACTTCTCTTAGTGTTAATTCAACTTCCTCTAGTGTTAATTCATCTTCCCTTAGTGTTAATTCAACTTCCCTTAGTGTTAATTTGGCTCCTCCCATTTACCACTTCAAACTCTTGCGAGAGAAAACCAGTTTGAACCAGTTTTGTTCATAATTTCAGCTTAAATTCACTAAAATAAAGTATAAATAAAATAAAACACCACTGTGTGTTGTTTAGCTAAATCAGGAACTGTACAAAGTGTTATCTGTTTACTCTCAAAAAGTTAATATAACTCTGGATTTTGGGGTTAAACGGGAACTTTGGTCCAGTGTCACTTAATTAACATTTCCAAAAATGTTAAATTAACTCTAGAACAGATTGGACTCATATAAACTCTGAGAAAATGTTAAAGTTAAAGCTGTGAGAGTCAGTTTTAACACTCCACTTTTTGCTGTGTGGGTTTTGTCGGGGAGGAAACTTGCAAACGTACACTTCAGAATCACACTCCTAGACATCGAACATTTATGTAAATTTGTCAAAGTGAGCACATTCTGCACTGTATAGGAGACATGGCGCGGAGGAGACTGATTAACAAAAGTCTTCAGTCCCTTAGCCAATCAGGATGCAGGATACATTGTTAAAAAAAAGGAAGCAAAATTGTACAAAAAAATAATAATCCGCAAAACAGTGAGACCACGAAAGTTGAGCTGCGTTACAGTGAGGGACGACTGTATCTGTTAATTGAACTGTATACTTTTCTATTTCTCCCAGCCAAAGTTCATTAAACTGTTGCACTGTGAAGTAATGGTTTATGTAGTGTCGTACTTTGTTGGTGGTAATATCGCTTGTGTATTTTTCAGATCAAATTCCTCAAAGTGGAAATGGAAAAGAAAACGAAAATCATCAAAGATCTGCAACAAGAGGTGAGCTATTGTGTTTATTTCAACCAGTACAAAATGAAATGAAATGAGTAAATGAGCCGGGAACTTTCCAGAACGCCTCAAGATCAATTTGAGTTCTTTTCCTTGGCTTCCTGCCATTGTGCAAAATAATGTTGTGACTCCCGATAATCCATAACTGGATTTGTTATCTCAAAATAATAGGGATCAGATGACAATTCGAAGGAGAGGAGCCATCATTTGGTTTATGAGAACGAGACAAGAACGGATTTTGTCATAATTTTTTACAAAAGCACGGTTCAGCTCGCAATTTTGATCCCACAATTTCCAATTAATATTTTTTTGTGTCAAAGAAATTGCCAAAACATCAGACTGAATGCACAATTATTAAACTGGAACACACTGAGTTTTATTATCTGAGCCTTGGAACAGAACAGATGTGAAGAGAGCAGGATAAAGACAAGAGAGAGAGGAATAAAAGAGGCTCAAAGATACAGACAGAACAAGCAAACATCTTCTGATCATCTTCTCATACGTTGGTTAGAGACACAAAGGCATGTTAATGGTGACAGATCAGGTCACAGTCTAAAATAAGTGTGGCCTCAATGGTGATTGCTGAAGAAATGAATCTAAAAATGAATAACCTTGTCTGCAAAATACTGTTGATAACCTGAGTTGCTCGTGCCTTAACCTACAGATAAAAGATACGTAGAGACACATACAAAGTTTGTCTCATTCTCAGACTCGGTATATGAACAGGATATTACCAGAGCAAAGGCTGCACCAGCACTGCGACATGATTGGCTGCTGGTGCCGGGCTTTAGGTGGTGGCCATTCAGATCACAGAGAGGCATTTTAGGTTGAACTGTAGAAGTATAATAAGATCTAGAAGATGAACCAAAGATGGCGGTGCGTTGTCTTCACTGACCTGAGCTCATATTTTTTCTTTTGCATTACTTCCTGAATACTGACCTCGCCCAACCCAACGTGTGACATCAGAAACGTGCAGTACAAAGCTAACTTTTAGGCATTTGACCATTTAAAAGTTCATATACAGGCTTTGCACCGTCACGTGTCCCCCATGGCAACGGTAAATACGCCGCCATGACACCGAGCACACTATGTCATTGGCTTCAGTAGCATCGGAGAAACATGGGCAGGTTTTGTTGTGTATTTGGTTGTTCTAGACGAAAGGGATAAAAACATTCGTTCCTTCATTGTTCCTCTGGAAATGACTCATCAGGAGCTCAAACAAGGAAATTATCAAAAAAAAGACGCAAATTATGGCTAGAGAACATAAACATAGCGAAGAGATTTCCTATGGCACCATCAAGACACACTCGCGTCACTTTCATCAAGGTATTTGCTATTTAAATTGTTTCATAGCTTATTTAATGAGAGAAGCACATTTACTGAACTAAAATTTAAAAAAGAAAACATTTGCAGTGTGAGTGGCAGTAGAAACTGTATCTTCCAACGCACATATAAACATGTCACTCGTCGTAGGACCCATGTTTTCTTCGTTGCCTTGCTTATCCACAACTATGTCTTCTAGAATTAATTGCTTTTTGTGAGCGGATCTTTCTAATGTTCGTGAGGATCTTTTCATGACCGATTCTTTCGAGGTTCGGCTCACAGATTCTTCGACCCTTGCACCATGTTGATCACAGGAGCCCAGTGTGGGTTTGTTGTCGTAAACTAGTGCGGGTTTTCCTGAATAAATTAATGAAATTTTAGTTCAGTAAATGTGCTTCTTTCATTAAATAAACTATGAAAAAATTTAAATAGCAAATACCTTGATGAAACTTCGGGTGTCTTGATGGTAACATTGGAAATCTCTTTGCGGTTTATTCATGCTAGACATAATCCGCGTCTTTTTTTTTCAATAATTCCCTTGTTTGAGCTCCTGATGAGTAATTTCCAGAGGAACAGTGAAGAAACGAATCATTTTATCCCTTTCAGAGTGGCTAGAACAACCAAATACACAACAAAACCTGCCCATGTTTCTCCGGTGCTGCTGAAGTCAGTGGCATAGCGTGCCCGGTGTCATGGCAGCGTAGGTACCGTTGCCATGGGGGACACGTGACAGTGCAAATCCTCTATCGTAAAAATACAGAAGAATCCCTACAAAACCCAACCTTTATGAAAGCGCTCGATGCTCTGTCAGCCAAACAAGGGCAGTTTGATCTCACAAAAAAATGTCAACCAAAATCCTGATTTTCTTACACCTTGACACTGGTCTGTATCCAGTTCTTATTGTAGATCCAAGGTTTAAACCAACTGGAAAATGACAACCCAAATGAGAGACTCATGTGAGGCTCATTCTGTTTTCTAACTGGAAAATCATCTTGAGAACCAAAACACCAAATTATAACATAAACTTTTTTTTAAGGAATAAATCAGCATTACAGTAAAACCTATATTTGGCTTGAAAAAGTTTATTTGGCATGTGGTCAAATCAAAATTGTACATGCAGTTCCTCTAACATGATCAGTTTTCTCGGTCCTCTCGTCTCACAGAGGCAGTGTACTATGCATTTCTCATTTTCTCTCAGCCTGCATGTGTCCGAGCTGTAGTCCTCGCTGTCCACACAGTGTGATAGTATTGGCTATTCAAGCCTTCGGGTCCAGTACTGATGGTAAATAAACTTCTCCTGCCTCAGACATCCACAGTCTCCTGCTTCTGTTTACAGCTGTGGGGCTCATTAGGACAACTGGTGTTCCTCACTAGATGTTTGCTGCTGTCCAGCTCCACACACCATCAACACTCACACCAGTTTACTTTTAGACTCTTAAATGACATACATACATACATACATACATACATACATACATACATACATACATACATACACACACACATACATACATACATACATACATACATACATACATACATACATACATACATACATACACATACACACATACATACATACATACATACATACATACATACATACATACATACATACACACATACATACACATACACACATACATACATACACAAATACACACATACACATACATACATACATACACATACATACACAAATACACACATACATACATACACACATACATACATACACACATACACATACATACATACATACACATACACACATACATACACATACACACATACACATACATACATGCACATACACACATACATACATACATACATACATACATACACATACATACACAAATACACACATACATACATACACACATACATACACATACACACATACACATACATACATACACACATACATACACATACACACATACACATACATACATACATACATACATACATACACATACACACATACACATACATACATACATACACACACATGTACATACATACACACATACCTACATACATGCATACACACATACATACATACACACACACATACATTCACGCATACACACATACATACATACACACACACATACATACACACATACATTCACGCATTCATACATTATATACATACACGCACACACACACATACATACATACACACATACACACATACATTCACACATACATACATACACACCCATACATACATACACACACACACACACACACACACACACACACACACACACACACACACACACACACACACATATATTTACATATACACATACATTCACGCATTCATACATTATGTACATACACGCACACACACACATAAATACATACATACACACATACACACATACATTCACACATACATACATACACACCCATACATACATACACACACACACACACACACACACACACACACACACATATATTTACATATACACATACAGGACATGCTCCACTGTGTTTTCTCCTTGCACCTTCACTAGAATCATTTAGATCATTTCAACTCTAGAATTGCCAGTCTCTACAGAACTAAAGCTAAAAGGAGCTGTTAACACTACATGACATTAAAAGGTGGAACAGAGCATTTTGAGCTTTGGAGCTGTAGACAGACTAATAATGCAGGATTAAACACAACTCCGAGTCTGTTTTTGAGGAGGTAACAACATAACATGGCTTAAAGCTCACAAGAGGCAATTTTGCGTAATACAGGAGCTTTAAGGTTAGGATTAGTCTCCAGGAAATTTATGTCAAGTCAATGCAATACCCCCAAAAGGTATGAAAACCCATGTGTGTGTATGCAGTATGCGAGCATAATATGTATAGTAGGACTTATATAATATAGGACTCAATGCCGCAGTGTGTCTTGACATTATATTATTAAAGATGCATGCTTTTCTGGTGGAGGGTCCGTCAAATACTTTTTGCCATGGAGATGCTATTGCTGTGTCAGGAAGTTTCACAGTATGGAATAAAACCATTTTATCTTCATGGAGACCAAATGGGACCAAGTTACAGGTCAGATCTATGAGGAGGCGACCCCGCTCACAGTCAGAATGTCTGTTTTTCTAGGTATTTGAGTCATAAAACCACCTGTAGTTGAATAAATCTGAGGTTGATCTGCTTAATGTCGTACTGTGGAACATTCCAGGCAGAGCAATGATATATCCATAGAAACAAGCAGGTCACAGACATCCAAACAAAAAGTTACATAGTCCACCTTTAAAAACAGTGATACAAGTGATGTGACACTCGTGAAAAAATTGGCTCTTTTGAGCGGTTCCTTTGCGTGATCGGTTGGATCTTGAACAAAATCCTTTTTTTTGCATTTGAACCAAAACAAGAATCTGAACAGACACAAAGTTGGCACCACAAGTAAAAAAAACAAACATTTGCATCATAACAGTAATTAAAAAAAACAAAAACAAAATCTTATTATTGTAACCCAACATTTTATTTAGTTTCTGTCTAATTTCAAAAGATAAACACACTCCCACTCAATGTTTGAACCATTTAAACAACTCTTAGCCTTGGTCATTTTTCTTTGTGATTCGTTTGTAGATCAAATGAATTCACACACGCGTTTCTGTCATATAAATTTCCATAAAAATGAGCCAGGCTTT